TGGCAGCATGACCTACAGAAATCTTGAGTGAAATAAAGCACCTGTGGTGACAAAAAAAGGCTAATGCGGGCTTTGGGTATATCAATAGAGGCATAACATTGCAAGATGTCATAGTCCCACTGTACACTGCATTGGTCAGGCTGCACCTGGAGTATTGTGTGCAGTTCTGGAGGCCTCACTTCAAAAAGGATATGGACAGAATGGAGCAGGTGCAGAGGAGTGTGACGAGGATGATCGGGGGCCTGGAGACCAAGCCCTATGAGGAAGAGCTGAGGGACTTGGGAATGTTCAGTCTGGAGAAGAGGAGGCTGATTGCTCTCTTTAAGCATTTGAAGGGCTGTCACTTAGAGGAGGGCAGGGAGCTGTTCCTCTTGGCAGCAGAGGATAGGACTCACAATAATGGGTTTATCTTAAGGGCGGGGAGGTACCCGCTGGATATTAGGAAAAACCTTTTTACAGTAAGAGTTGTGCAACAGTGGAATGAGCTGCCTAGGGAGGTGGTGAGCTCCCCCTCACTGGCAGTCTTTAAGCAGTGACTGGACAAACACTTGTATGGTTCCTTCCAACTCTGTGATTCTACCTCCTCCTTTGGGCAAGTGGAAGAATGGGACACCTTCTTTTGCCATCCCAGCAACAACAAAATCATTTTCTGTGCTTATGCGAGTGGTTTCCAGGTGTGATGCCTTTGAGCACTGTGGTGCCCACCTGTTGCTGTTCAGTCACACAGTTGAGTCCAACTCTTCGTGACTCCATGGACCACATCATGCCAGGCCCTCCTGTCTTCCATCGTGCTCCAGAGTTTGCTCGATTTCATGTTCGTTGCCTCGACAGCACTGTCTAACCATCTCATCCTTCGCCATCCCCTTCTTCTTTGACCTTCAATCTTTCCCAGCATCAGGGTCTTCTCCAGTGGTGTGTGGTGCCCACCTAGGTGCTTCCTAATGGCCATTTGATCCTCTGGGGGGAAGAATCCAGCGAGCCTTGAATGGAAAGCAAAAACAGGAGCTTAAGATCCCTGTGTACCAGCCGTCTGCCTGTCTAAAAGCGTTGACCACCTCCTGGGCAATTGTGTCACTGCTGTATACCATGTACTTGGATGTAGATATACACTTTATGACTCTGGGCTTGGAAACCTCTCCCTGGGCAGTGCAGGGAGCAAATCCTTCCTCCCCCCTTTGTGGAAATTGAGGCCAAACTGCAAAACAAAAAGTGAATCCTGCTCCCATTGGTTGCTGTTTTTTGATGGCTCCACCCCAATGGCAGACGTTTTGTAATGGGTGGGTACTATCTGTTTTCAAAATCTAGAAGTACTAGGGTTGCCAGCTCCAGGTTGGGAAATACATGAAGAGTTTAGGGGTGGAGCCTGAAGAGAGCAGGGGTTTGGGGTAAGGAGGGACTTGAGTGGGCTATAATGCCGGTCAGTCCACCTTCCAACGCAGTTATTTTCTCCAGGGGAACCCATCTCTGTTGCCTGGAGGTCAGTTGCAATAGCAGGAGATCGCCAGCCACCTCCTGGGGGTTGGCAACCCATAAACCCATTCGCAGGTTCAACAAGGCCAGGGGCCCCAGTCTCATGCCCACTTCTTTTCCAAGCCTTTATAGATAAATAGGGCATATGAGAAAGGGGTCTGAAGTGGATGGAGACCACTTTGATGTAAAGCAGCTATTGATCTCCCCCTACTCTAGAAAACCATGTAGCAGTAAACAGTGTTCCCTCTAGGCTGAGTTAGTGTGAGCTGGCTCACACAGTTTTTTTAGCCTCCAGCTCGCTGATTTTGGTCTTTGCTCAGGAAGGATGGCTCCAGAGCAAACTAATTTATGCAGTAGCCAAGTAGTTTGCTCACAACTTTAATGCCGAGTAGCTCACAATGTAGGATTTTTGCTCACAAGACTCCACAGCTTAGAGGGAACATTGGCAGTAAATGACAAAGTGATTAAGTGGTTGTGCTGTTCAGTACTACCCAGAAGTCCCCGCTATGCCGCAGACTTCCTGTATGGCTTAGGGGCGTATCTTTTACTGCTGATTTCCTCCAGTTTCAATCATGAGGGGAAGGGAGAACACATGTGAAGCCTTTAATCCATAAAGAAGTGCTACTAATAAATTCTATCCCACACCTTCCCATAAGCATGCGTTCTTATGAATATTCAGGTTCTCCTCCCTGCCTCACCCCAAAGCCAAGAACATTTTGAGGGCTTACAATGACGTTTGCTAACTGGCCCCTAGAGGGCACTAAAGAACATCGAAATCCGTTGATTCGCACATGGAGCCTTCCCTTACCGGATAAAGCGTGGCATGTGGTGCTTGAAGGAGCTATTCTGCATTGGCCAGCAAAGGGGAAAGGGTGGGGCCAGTTAAAACAGGCCTTTGTGTCTGGAGCAGCCTGGTCTGGAAGAGCTGTCCACTGGGGTGGGTTTGCGTGTGGTAAATTGCTGATGCCAGCAAGACCTGAGGCAGCTGGGAGTGTGTTTGATGAGAGGCTGCATTCCAGGGATGGACAGCGTTCAAGATAAGGATGGGACAGGACCCAGTGGCTAAGCTGCCTGAAGATAAGGGCCCCGGAGGAGCTGTGGAATGTGTCAGCCTGCTCTAAAGTATTTACGAAGTCCTCCTGTCGTTCTCTTAGTTTTAAAGGGGCTTGCCCTTGTGTGGCTTGTGGGTTTTTTTGTTTTAGCCTTCCGGTGTATAAACCGTGCCACATAAGTGTGTGAACTGATTATTAGCCTGAATGTGTGCTTGTGTCTTCCGAAGCGAGTCAGACCTGGTCCTCGCTTGCCACCTTGTCCTTAGACAAAAACAAACAAAAACAACACAGGGTAGCAACTGATAGAACAATACAGCGAATTCCAAAATGAGATATGGTAGGACATGACAGAACTCTACAGGGGGCAGAAGTTTTGGGCCTGCTTTCTGACATTTCCCTTTGTATTGCTCTAAGGCACATTACTAGCTGGTCTGTGCATTCAGCAGTTACACAGGCAACTGCAGGAAGGGAGCTGGGGGGGGTGCTTGTGCCCTGCGGAGTTCTTTGCCCCTCCCTGTGTCAAGCAGAATTAATTAAGCAAAACAAGGGAAGGACTGTGGTTTAGCAGTGGAGAATCTGCTTGGTATGCAGAGGGTCCCAAATTTAATCCCCTGGCATCTCCAGTTAAAAGGATCTGGTAGTAGGTGATGTGAAATATCTCTTCCTGAGACCCTGGAAATCTGCTGACTGTCAAGAGTAGACACGTCTGACCTTGACAAACCAAGGCTCTGACTCAGTAAAAAGCAGCTTCATGTGTTCAAATGGCTAACTTCTCTTGCCTCTTCTTTCCTGCAGCAATTTGTGCCCTCCTGATATTGTGCCCCTGTGGGTCAGTTGGGCCCCCAGGAACATTGGGGGGGGGGCTGTGGTGAGAAAAGAGGGCAAGACTGCTCTCCTGTTCTTCCGTGAATGTAAAGGGAGCCTACCATCCAGGCAGTGTGTGCGCATAAGAGGCTACATGTTCAGGTAAAGGCCCTTGAAATGGAGGAGCTGTTGCTCTTTGGCAGAGAGCATGCTTTGCATGGTTGAAACCCCACGCTCAGTCCCTGGCACCTCCGGTTAAAGGACCTTGGGTAGCAGGCTCTTCTCTGCTGAACGCCCTGGAGGATCAGTTATAAGTAATACTGAGCAAGGCGGATGGATGCTCTAACTCAGTGCCTCAATTTGCATACAAAACATGGCTATATAGAGCTGGAAGGGACCCCAAGTGTCATCTGGTCCAAGCCCCTGCACAGTGCAGGAAAGCCACAGCCACACAAACACCCATGACCCCTGCTCTGTGCTCAGAGGAAGGTAAAGAAATACCCTCCGGGATCACTGGGCCAGTCCGACCTGGAGGAGAATTCCTTCCTCACTGCATAGTGGCAATTGGCAAGAGCTGAGCCCTGGCTCCTCCCTTCCTGCCGTCTCAGGGTCTGGCTAAATTCAAGTGTGAACTTGGACTTAACAGTTCTCACATTTCAGTGACTTCCATCTTTGGCCATTTTCATCTGTACTTCCTTAAATGCACATTCAGGGGAAACAAAATCTCTTATGAGCATCTGCAGACTGAGGGTATTGGTGAATGTGAGCTTGATGGCAGACGCACAGCAGAAATCAATGACGGGGAGCCCAGAGTGAGCAGTGTAAATGCTTTAGATCTTCTGTCATTTCCAGGCATGGCATTAAACTCTGTGTTGCCTTTGTTCCTGTGCAGCTGGGGCAGGGCAGGGAGGAGGGTGTAGCTAATGCTGGGTTACTGACATGGTCACTGGTAACCAATAACCATACAGCCGTAAGCTGCCTCCTGGCAAGCTTCTAAGCAGCCATAAAGGGTTGTCTTTCTCCACCCACGGCCTTCTCTTTTGGAGAAACGGCTGCACGGCCTGAAACCTGTGAAGGGGTTTTGCTTCCCTTCAGATCTTTTAACAAGCAGTTGGAACTTCCATTTCTGGAAAACCCAGAATTGTTTAGAAAGCAGGCAGGAGACATTGCTGGTCTTATTGAAAGGAAAAAAAATCAGGGTTTTCTCTCTCATTCTTTTCCTGCCCTTATTACTTTCAGAAGTTATGTTCACAGAGTTGCACCGACTTAAGCAGCCTTGAGCTCTGATGAGACGATTTGTGGAGCCTGGCGCTCCAGACCAATCTAGCCATGGTTTTCACTGGTTTCCCCAAACATGTAGCTTTTTTGGTATCCTGAAGCAGGTTTGTTAAGATCCAAGATGTTGGAATCATTGTCCATCCTGTAAACAACTCCCTGCATTTCAACATGACAGACATTTAAAAACACACACACACACACAACCTCCCAGGGAGTTGAACGATGCTGCTAAATTCCTTGCAAACCCTCCAGTGGGGGGATGGGAAGCTTAATCATTCACTTCTTTAAAAGTCCTGTGCCTTTTGTTTAATGTTTGCTTTCGCTGCTCCTCCTGAAATGCTGGTCACAGGTCACTTGAGCTCAGCTGTTGTTTCTTCTGTGTCCTTATTTTTTAAGGTTTCGGCCGTGCCTACAGTCTTGGCTCTGAAGAACGGCAGCGTGGTGGATAAATTTGTGGGGATTAAGGATGAGGATCAGCTGGAAGCCTTCCTCAAGAAACTCGTTGGGCCTTGAGCAAGCCGAGGACAGCAGTCACCCGAGGCCTCTTGCGTTTTGTCCTTCTTGTCTGTTTGCTTGGAGGGGACGTGTGGGTTGGAGGGAGTGGGCGCCATCTTCTTCCCCCTTCCTTATGAGGGGTGGGGGGAAGCAACACTCCCAGGAGGTTTGAGCGCGATGGGAAGGCTGGTCAGTTGGTGGTGGAGGCATGGCCCAATGGCCAGTGGCAAGAAAGGTGGGACTCCTGCTGAGGGAGAGAAGTTTCCTTCTCCACCCTGACCCAGGCTAGAATCAATGTAGTTCATAGCTGCTGCCGGTGAGGAGGGGGCAGATTTTGTGCAGGATTCTGTCACTCTGCTTTCTCTCTCAAATATTTTCCTGAATCGAGTGCGGCGCTGGCTGAGGTAAAAGCACCTTCCTGGGGTCTCCTTTAAACTGGGCTGCTTCGCCTAGCTGCTTTGTGCAGCTGGGAGACCAGTTCAAATGAGGTGCCGCACAAAACCCCCCCCCCCCCCCCGTGAGCAGGTGTGTTTGCCTCACGTTTCTGTCAGGCCCATGTCCTCCGTCTAGAAGCAGTTTCAAATTGGGTTGCTGCCACAGGGCCTGTGTCTTTTCTCTCCCCTCTCCTCCCCCAGCGTGCTGCTGTTTATATACCAAATAAAGAGAAATATTGTTTGGATTTATGTGTAGATCTGCAATAAAGACTGCTTTAATTCTTTTTCTTTCTGTAGAGAATACCTTATTTGCTATATAGGGTATCTCTTTTGGGGCGCTATAGGATGGGTTGATAAGATCATTCTGGGAGGTTCTTGATCGCACTGCAGGAGCCAGGACATACTGCAGTCACCGATCAGAATGATAGTCCTGATTCATGGTTGAAAATATTAACTACATGCAACAATTGGCAGTTTAACCATGTCCTCAAATCTTCTCCCTGGGATGGGTTGCTTCACCCTGCCTGACAATAGGGGGTGGCTGCAGGGGTCGTTTCGTAGAAAAAGAGCTAGGGGAACTCATTAGCATATGCCACACACCCTGACATCACCGGAAGTGTGTCATAAGGCCACACGGCCCGCCCCCAACAGTCCCGGCCACCGCCACTGGCCTTGCAGCTCCACTGCTGAGCCCCATGAGGGGCCCAGCGGTGGACCTGCAAGGCCGGCGGGAGTGCAAGGAAGCCCCGTGAAGGCCCTCCCTGGCCCCAGGCAGGCAGGGGTGGGGAGAGGCAGGGAGGAAGCAACTTACCCTCCCTCTTCTCCTGCCTCCTCCTGGCTGAATGAGGGCTGGAAGCGGGGCGGCCGGAAGCAGGGGGCGGGGCTTCGTCATGTGCCCCGCCCCCCGTACCTCACCCGGAGGAACTGCGATCCCCCACGATTCCCCCCGAAATGACCTCTGGGTGGTTGTATGCATCAGACATTTGCAACCAACTAAAGGAAATATTTATCTAGGCCATATGAAATTCATTTTTGGAACTCTCTAGTAAACGAAGTTGTATTGGCCCAATAGTACATCCGTGGGGAGAAACACAAGTTTATTGAAAGAGCAGCGGTGTCTGTGAAGCCAGAGGTCCCAGATACATTCCTTTTCATTGGGAATGTCCCTATGGACAAAATGCAGAACCATGAGAAAGGTTGCAGTTGTTTAGCACTGCCTTGTGCTTTAACACACTTTGTGTAAAACAGTGGTGTTTGCTACTGTACCGATCCCTTCCTGAAAGCACACAGATGGCCATCGTTGGAGAGGCTGGGTCCTGGGATCATGTAGATTATTCCAATAAAGAAGTTCAACATCTGCATGTTATGGGTCCAAGCAAATTCTTGTGATGGATGGATGATTGATGCCCTGGGATTTGGATTTTGGCGTCCAGCACGTATTTTCTAAAACACCAGCCCGCCTGCAAGGAGAGTGCTTGCAGGAATGGGAACAGGACCATGGCACTATGGTTTTCGGAAATGAAATTCAGTATAATTACCACTGGCTAAAAATTTCTGGAGGAAGGCAGCCAAAATGAACCACAGCCTGTTCTTCCTTTGCCATATGGTTTTTAGTGCTGGATTTCTACCCTATGCTATTTGAAGTTTCATCTCATCTTAACAAAGGAATCTTATTCTACAGCAGGGCTGGTCAGCCCATACCTTTGGCCCGTAACTACTGTAACCTTTAGACTGTGACAGTGGAGTTTATTTGGTCTTGCCTGTAATTGAATGTAGCCCCTCCCAGCTACTTCTCTGCTTTTGCCTGATCCTTGGAACCATGTCTTTTCAAGCACCTTGTGGCCAGCGCCTGATTCCTTAACAGCTAGCCTCTCCACTCGCCACACCCACCTCTCTCTCTCTCTCTTTTTTGGGGGGTGGAGAAGCTGCCCTTCCCCCCCCCCCAGGCAAAGCCAATACTTGTTAACTTCTCGATGCTATCGTTATAGCCTCCTCTATTGCTTTTGCCTTTACAGAGGTTGTTTTCAGTGTTGTTTTGATGCTTAACTTTTTGGTCTCAGTTGCTTCCTTTTCTTGCAGCGCACAGGATCTAAACGTCGGGTTTGTTGCACAGGAGAAGTTTCACCCAGCTTGTCACATGAGACGCTTTGCAGCAAATCTTTTAACAAGCTACACTTAATGTCCTTGAGTGTTTTCCTGCAACCATAATTGCCCATCCAGCAATGTTCTTGCCAGATTTCCCAAGCCAGGGTGCTTGTTGGGCTGATTCGCCTGCAGGAAATGGAACCAGGAAGAGGGAGGAGGCTGTGTTCTCCCATTATTTGGCTCAGTCCCTGACTAGTTGCTACAGAGCCTAGCTTTTGCTTGCATTAAATTTGGAAGAGATCTTAAACACAGTGTTTTGTCTATTTGTCGTTAAGGATTCCTTGACGCATTCTCAAAGAACAAGACTTTTTCATTCTGCTGTCTTGGCCTTCCTAGGGTCTCCAGCGAATGGCAGTCATCTCCAGAATTCTCTCTCTCTCTAAAAATGTTGAAAGGGTAGTACACGTAATGTCATTCCAATTGAAGGTTGCCAGGCCACAACAACTCAGAGATGGTGCCTATTTCTTTAATGGATGCCTGGCAGGGACAGAGGATATAGCTGTACCTCTCAGCTCCTGCCGCCTCTGCTCCAGTTGCCTTCCGTCTGCTGGAGCAAAGAGGGCTTCTTGGGTTGCCACCATGACCAAGCTGTCTGAATGGAGTGGTGGGAACGGGGCACAGAAGAACACAGCTGCCTTCTTGGTTGCAGCTGCCAGTCCATTAAAGTAACTGACATAATCTTTGAGTAGCAAGCTGGCAAATTCTTTCTGATAGCAATATGTAAGTATTTTTAATTGGTATTTTTAATGAGGCTTGAGTGTTGGACTGGATGGGCCATTGGCCTGATCCAACATTGGCTTCTCTTACACTCTTAAAAGGTGGCTTGGTGCTTTTTTGCTTTTCCGGTTCCTATGTTTTCAACATATTTTTAAGCTGTTCTCTGGAACAATGAGGGACAGAAGCTTAGTTTTCCATGGCTTACCTTTCAGCAGTGGAATCCCAGTTCCTTGCTTGCTCTTGTGCCCGCTTGGAACAGGCATGCTTCCTGTCTGTAGCAAAGAGAGGCATTGTCAGCGAAAGGCAGGAAAAGCCTGGGAGGGGAATAGTCCTGGTATGCTGCTGCAGTGGTTAACTTTCATGCCCTACCATAAACACCCGGACAGGAAAAAACAGCTGTAGGCACTGTGACTTTGCATTGTGTATTTAAGAGCCTGCATACATGGGCTGTTTTATCGCTTCCTCCCAAGGCTCTGGGGTCTGGGTAGTATTGTGTGCTGTCGAGACAAGCCAAAGATTTACTGGCAAATCTTAATAGATTGCTACTCGTTTTGTATGTTAAGGTGACCTGAATGTTTCTGGGGAAGGAAAAGGGGACAACAGTTCTATAGGCATCTCATCCCATTTGCTTTCTCCAAATCCCGAATAGTTTTTTAAAGCCACTAAAGATCTCTTGAGGCTTTGGAAGCCTTTGGAGCTCTGAATTTACAATGCCTCCCCGCAAAAAGTGGAAGGACAAAGATGCTTCCATTGCTCAGCAAGCCCTGCCCTTTTAGTTTCCAGTCCTTTTTTTGCCATTAAGGTAGAAGAAGAGAATATTGGATTTATAGCCTGCCCTTCACTACTCAAAGGAGTCTCAGAGCGGCTTACAATCCCTTTCCCTTCCCCACAACAGACACCCTGTGAGGTAGGTGGGGCTGAGAGAGCTCTCAAGAACTGCCCTTGAGAGAACAGCTCAGAGAGAACTTGTGACTGACCCAAGATCACGCCAGCAGCTGCATGTGGAGGAGTGGGGCATCAAACCCAGTTCTCCCAGATTACAGTTTGCACTCCTAACCACTGCACCAAACTTAGGCCTTACTGATAATGGAGAGAGAGAAAGAAAGCTCTCTTGGAACTGTAGGTTGCTTGTTAGACATGGATTTGCCATGAAGGATTTGTGTGTGTCCCCCCCCCCCCCCAGTAATTTAGAAAAGTGTTCTATGCCATTACCTCTTTTCTCTCAGTCATTGCAATGTGCCTGCTTTGTCTATTTTGGATACCATATATTGTTCTGTTCCTGTCTTAATAAAAACCGCGGCTTGACTCTGGTGACAAAGGTGTCGTGCTCTGCTTCAGAGGTTGCAGTTCACGTATCATTGCACTACTGGCTTCAAAAACCTCATTCCTAAAATAGCTGACACAAAATGTTCTTGCCGCGTCTTTTCATTCCTCATTTGCCCTCCGGTAGTGAGGGACTGCCCTGACCTGGGTGGCCCAGGCTAGCCTAGTCTTGTCAGATCTTCGAAGCTAAGCAGGGTCAGCCCTGGTCAGTTATTTGGATGGGAGGCCACCAAGGATGTCATGGTTCCCTCCACAGAGGCAGGCCAGTGGCAAACCACCTCTGTTCCTCTTTCGCCTTGCAAACCCTATGAGGGATGGCAGTAAGTCAGCTGCAACTTGACGACATTTTACAGTGAGTGACTGGCTATGGCCAAGAGAGTGTGATCTGGTGGTTAAAAAAGGTAAGGGTTTCCCTTGCTCGAAAGCCAGTCAAATCCAACTCTAGGGGGCAGACGGGCGGTGCTTATCTCCATTTCCAAGCCAAAGAGCCAGCACTGTCCAAAGACTTCTCTGTGGTCATGTGGCCGGCATGACTAAATGCCAAGGTGCATGGAACGCTGTTACCTTCCTACCGGTGGTATCTATTTATCTACTTGCAATTTCTTGCTTTTGAACTGCTAGGTTGGCAGGAGCTGGGGACAGAGATGGGAGCTCACTCCATCACATGGGACTCAGGTCTCGAACTGCCGAGCTACAGACCTTCCGATCTGCAGTTCAGCGTCCTAACCACTGAGCCACTTCAGCCCCAATCCGGTGGTTAGGGAGTGTGAAATCTTATAACCTTGCTCACCTGTCTGCTTGCTTTTGCCTTTCTGCTTCCATCGCACTACTGTGCCCCTCTCCCAGTTGTTAAGAGCTGTCTATGCGC